GACTTCCTAAATACAAGTTTGAAAAGCATTGTTGCAGAATATGAAGAATAATTTCAAATTATAGGTTAGATAAAGGAAAGGTTAATATAAACCGAAATAAGCATTAATTCTAATTTTGGCCACAAGACATGCCACTTTACAACTTTAAATAGCATTAAAAAGCTTTATAAAAGAAATTACCATTAAATTCTTATGGTGCCCTCTCAAGGTACTAATGGTTAGAGGTAACAAAGAACAGAAGATATTTTCAGGAGAGTTTTCTCAACTTCTATAGAAAACTGACAAATATACTTTCAAAGATATATAAATTTTGCTATCAGTCAGATCAGACATATTCAATGTATATTGAATATCAATATATATTCATATACATATCATCAATATACATATCAGTCAGATCAGACATATTGATGCATTGTAAAATCTGACTTAATCAATCTAAAATAATAATTTTTATCAGTTCTTCAAGGATGTATTGATTTCAAGGAAGTGTGTTAACTTCTTTTTTACTTAAAATATATAAATGATCAATGTCTTAAATTGTTGTTTGAAAATATAGGTATATATTCAATGTCAACACTGTTGTTTAAAAATATAGGTATATTTTCAAACAACAGTTTGACCCAATCATTAGGAACAATCACTATAATACAATGGGTGATTGGTTAATGAACAGTTTGGATAGCAAACAAATCGGATAACAAACACATTTGCAAAAGATTTTTATGATCAGACAAAGAACACTTTACTGAACAAACATAGAAAGAAGCGACAGAAAATAACGAATACCGATTGATTTTACCTTATCTTCAGGTAACAATTTGAAACCTTTCGGAACGCAGGAGACATCAACATTGACACTCAACCCAATACCAATCAGATAGTATTCCTCTAAATTTTGAAACTCTCCCTTGTAATTCCAGCTTTTTGTTTACCTTTCTGACATTTTTTTTATAGTCTTCGCAAGACTGTCATCAGACAGGCACTTGTTAAGTTTTGTGTCAGGGTTTATTTATGAAAGGTGAAAGTTTAACTGTCTCATTGGATATTCATTAACATTTTAATACCAAATTTCGAATTTCATTCAGGCCTTGCATTTAAAATAACTTTTTGTGGGCTAGTTGATTTGTGTTCTCTAAATTTTTGTAAGTGCTTTTCTGAACTTTTTATTTAAAAAAGAAACTGATAATATTATGGAGCCTAAAAAGAGGAGTGTCAAGAACTGTGCTCACCACAGAAACCAAGTAAGAGATAATAGCCAAGGTAGAAAATGGGCACAAGATGTCTGATGTTGCTAGGCAGTATGGCTTGAACACGTCTATAGTAGGCACAATCTTAGCTATGAAAGATGTATCAAGAAGTCTCAAGCTGCTAATGGAGTAATGAAAACACATCTGAGAAATAAAGAGCATTTTAGAGCTCATAATGGAATCTGAAACTGATCTGACGACAGAAGAACTCCAAGAACTCTCAAATGAAGAATACCAAGAAACTCAGTGAGATGTGTTTTCTTTTGAAAAAGAGGAAGACGAAAGAGGACCAATGTTGACATCTGCTACTAAAGATCTCTTGAAGAAGTGGGAGGATGTCAGAACAACAATCATCTAAACTAGAATAAAGTTAATGGGGTTGGGGATCTCTATAATTACAATACTATTAATTACTTCCGAAAAATCTTGAAGAAAAGAGAAAAGCAATCGGCATTGGACAGATTCTTTAACCCCCACAAACGAAAAAAACACAACTAATAAAAATGCAAGACTACATATATATGTATTTTTACTAATGATGCAACAAATTGTACATTCGGCTTCAGGCCGAATACTGAATATTCAGCTTGATTAACACATGTACAAAAATTGGCACGCAAACCACATTATGGCAAGGATTGAGCACCCCACTCTCTATTGGCCTGCTGTGACTATGCTTAGCCAATCATGTTAATTCTTGACAGTTGTAGCAGACAGACACGAGCATCATGGCAGTATGTGATAAGTGATGATATCAAATGTGGATAACAATAAAATGATCTACATGTGTAAATAATGGAAAAAGAACAGAGAAGGACCACGAAGTGAAAATGTGAAAATAAATATAAAATTGAGTTGATAACATAATCAAACAAGTCAAGGCAGCTTATTGCCGTGAAATTCACGGCAATCAATGCCAAATAATTGTTCTCATAGACTTTGGAAAGCTAAATTCTTGTAATGAAAGTCACTTAGTGTCCTTTGGTCTTTTACATAAATAAGCAAAAAATTGCACTTTCTCGAATTTGAAATGTATGTTCAGCATTAATAAAAGTTACCAAAATAATTAATTTACTGTGTTTTTGTCATTTCTTACTCCTGTTTTTAGGTATTCGGTATTTGGCTGAATAGCGATTACATATTTGGTATTCGGCCGAATACTGAATAGTAACCAAATATTCGGTGCATCATTAATTTTTATTATTACATATAAATAAATGTAGTAAAAAAGTATTTATTTTTTATTTTTTGGAGTCTCCGGAACAAATTAATCAAATTCCCATAAAACCTATGGTAACTCTATAATTGGTTTACAAACAAAGTCTTGGAACGGATTATGTTCGTTAACCGATCACACACTGCATAACACAAATCTAATTCAAAAACTTTTTCTTTATTCACAATTTTATAAGTTATCAATATTATCAAAATTTGGAATATACAGTCGACCCCCCTATAATTACGGTCTCTATAATTACGATTCCTATAAAACTGCGAAAAATTGTGACGGTATCCGTAAAAAAAGGTAAAAAAACTCCGATAATTACGTAAAACGTCATCGGGCAGCCGAACTACTTTCCTGCCGTCCGTAGCGCCACGCTACGGAGAGATTTCTATCGTCTGGACAGTATTATATAAATTATATATAAATTAGGTACTGTACATATAATTATATATTAATTATATATAAATTAGGTACTGTATATATAATTATATATTAACTTATTGTAACTTTGTTATAATTAAATATATAATTTCCGCCGTCTAGCGTGGCGCCACGCTACGGAGATTTTTACGCTAACTATCGTCTGTCAGTATGTAAATTAGGTACCGTAAGTCTAATACAGTACTGTAATTTTATACATTTCTTGTGAAAGAAACATTTCTTATTCAACGGCGATTAAAATTATTTATATTAATGATGTCTCCGAAGTTCTACGAAGTTTTCACAGAAAAATAAGTTGTTAGAAATCGGCCGCTCTTTGCTGAGCTGTTCCGCGACGAAAACAAGCTTTAGCAATGGTGATGTCGAATGGTGCACACTCGGTAAGTAATCCTACAATTTTTTGTTTATAGCGTAGTTTATACAGATTATTTCCAAAAAATATATACGTATTTTGGAAATGTTGAGTCAGATTAGTCTAGAATCGATTAATTTTATGGAAGAAAACCTTTCAATCGGCCGTAGTCCGTGTCGGGCTATGATTGGAAGGACTCATAAGAAATCGGATTCCTAAAGAATGGAACGTATCTATGATCTTATAGGGGAGTCGACTGTACTATACACAAATTATGTAACTGTAAAACTTAACTCTTAAATAAATGAATAAATGAAACTATGCTATAACAAATTCAATAAAAATTAGATATAACACATTAACTTAAAAGTTTTGAAAGATGTTTAAAATGAATGTTTAATAGTTTGGATTATTTTAAAATATAAATAATGTTCCTAAAATTTAGTATAAAAGTCAAATAATAAAGTCACATGAAGTTTTAGAAGTTCTGTTTGCAGAAAATTAAAAAATATTAAAATCTCTTATTAAAGTATAAGTTTTTATTTTCTTTTACAGTGAATGTGTTGTATCACATAAAACATTAAAACCATAGATTAAACAGAAAACTGATGAAAAATTAATTTTCACAAACTTTTTATGCTTGCCAGAAACTATTAAACTGTCAAAACCAAAACTAACAGGAAGTATCACCATACTAAGCTTAAAGTTTTTGTTTACCAGCTGTAAATGTAAAAAAAATCCAAATCTGGCTTAAGAAAAACACTTTACAAGTATCAACATATGTACAAAAGAGCAAGTTGTCTGAAAGTCAAGGGCCATCTGTATTGCATTTGAAGAATAAACTTTACATGATATTTGACCTGTCAGAACCTGATCAAGGTAGCAATATTTATTCATTAAATGTATTGATTTTTAAATTTTTTTTATTTCATTTAATAACGATATAGCAAAACCATAGTTAATTTCTAAAACGGTAACTAAATATTAAATGATTACTGTTTTGAAAAAGGATTTGGTTTGAGCATAGTTTTAATGGCAACTAATCAAACATTTTCAAAACTCTACTTAAGTAATACAATACACATATAATAGTCTTATACGATTACGACGTACAGATTAAAAATAACAGCGATTCAAAATTTATATTTTTTATAACTAATGATGCTAATGTGTGTTGTAAACACATGCAACCATCATTTCGACGCCATGTTTTAAATGGAAAAAAACAATTTCCAATGTGAAAGAATGCTAATTTTTCCTATTTAAATATAATGTACATTAAGAAATGTACATTATACTTAAAATATACGTTGATAATCGTAGTAAAAAGTGCGATTACAATTGAGCGTATGGAGTGTGGTTCCTATTATTATGATCTTCACTTTTCAAGATGGCGACGAAATGATAGTATCGTATACTGAGAACACATCGTACACCTCTTTATAAAAATATATATAGTATTTTGATCGGTATTATTTCTAATTTGCACGAAGTGATCACATAAGACTATTAAACAAGATCTTTATCCACATTTCAACATTTATATGAATTTAAATCATAATTATAAAGTTAAATAAATAGTAAGACATGACATGCAGATTTAGGCTTAAAGAAATCTCTTTGTAAAACGGCGGTTATAGATAATAGATTCATCGAATTTGTATTTTAATCAATAGCACAATAAATTTTATATATAAATTTACATACTAACACGATAGAAAATAAATAATACCTTTTTAAAAATATATAATGTACAATTATAAACACTCTAGACAATAGCGCGAAAACTGAAAGAAAGAAAAAACGGATTCACGTTCGGGAAATTATATGTCACAAACGTTATAATAGCCAAAAAGTCTAAAATTTAAATAGTAATTTTTATAACATATTTATTTATTTTTAATTTATAATATAATAAAAATATTTTAAATTAAAATATTTTTTAATATTTTAATTATTTTTCTGTAAATGGTATTACAGTTGACTTTTTTTAAATCCTGTGAGTATTAAGAGGGCATTTTTAGCAAGCTCATTATGGATTCGGTCAGGACCACAACTGAGAAATTAGGCCTGATATATTTGGGCGGATTATTACCCGAAAATTTTCTGGGTTTTTCGACCCGTCGGAATGCAATTCCAGGTCCTTCAGAGCGATAGGTGCCGCCTTAGTTACTCGGCCATCCGGCTGTCATTACAGTTTGTTAAACGTAGAATCTTCTTCGTTTGCTTTAATGTCTCTCCTGCATATTAATGAAGAGACATTTTCAGACCGATTGGTTAGCCTTCAACGTGAGTGTCAATGCGAGGCACTAGCAAAATTAAAGGCTATATGGCCGTTATAATTTTATCCATTATGGCAGGGCCGTGCCGTGCTATGATGCAGTGATGCAGCCGCATCAGGCGGCACCGTAAGGGGGTGGCATAAGCAGCGAAATCAAAATATTATTTGAACCATTCAATAATTAAAAATTTTTACGCAACGCTTTTCTATATTGGTCTATGTTATTCCGATATTGATGTATATTATTAATGATTTATCGCATGCCTCTGCTTAAGTGCTTTCGGTACCCTTTGATTTCGGTTTATGGTGCAAATGCATTGTTGGAGAGCGGCAGTCAAAAGGCTTTTGACAAGACAGCGCAAAGCTATTGTTTTTGTTTGTAATATACCGCGCGACTCTCCTAAAAGCTGAGGCGGCAATTATCATAAAAGACAATTGCACGTGTAACGTGTTGATAGTTCTGCTTTGACCTTAAATTATTGACAATATTTGGCTTTAACGTTAGTTTGTCTCTATAAGTAGCGAGTGGCTGTGCTGTGTTTAATCAGTGAATCTGATATATATCTGTATCAGTATAATATTTTTACTAATTCAGTTTTTTGTGTTTAAAAAGTATATCAGGTAAGAAAATTATTGTTTTTTTACAGCAATTTTAGTTACTTACTAGCTGCAAGGACCCGCTTCGC